TTTCTTTTTCTTTTATATACTAGTACATTATGTTCCTTTTTCTTTTCTTTCTTTTTTTTGTATGTATTATAAGTGCCACTTTGCGCATATACATTATTACACTGATTATTGCGAATATATTCTTTTTCTTTTCTTTTTGTACACATTGTTTGGTGACTGAGAGCGTTCGATTAAAAATCTTTTATTTTATTATCTTCTTAACCTTTTTTTTCGTTTCTCTTCATCTTTCCTTTTTTTTTCTTTTTTCATTTACATATAGGGTTAAGTGATGATCGGGTGCATCGAGATCTCTTACGAGTCTCGTATGCACCATTCTGATATCCCTAATAAAAATATAATATAAAGATTCGCGAAAGGGTAATCTAAGCCGTTATCTAAAATAGATTGTAGCACAGCATTAACGAGATGGGTAGAGCCCACGTGACTCGCGCGTGAGGAAGGTATGCGCGCGCGACGCGACGAACGCGCGACACGAATTCCGCGAAGCCCCATGAATGGGATATAGCGAAACCCATGTATAAAAACTAAAAATCTCATCGCTCTAATTACTCCTAAACCGTTTTAATTTGGAAATTAACATTTGTTGTACATGAAAGTACATAAAATATTGTAAGGCCATGTCAAGTGTCGTACCGATTCGACCAGTAATTAGGGAAATAATTAACGGTTTAGATTAAATAATATTTCCCAGCTTTCCGGAAAATATAGCCCTTCTTCACGCCTCAGCCACCAAGCTACGTGTATATAAGCGAGCCGATTTCGGCACTCGAATTCATTCTCGTCTGAATCGGCGCCGACGATCAGACCCCGCGTCTTTGTACATAAAAACGAGGTGAGCATTAAAAGGCCTTAACTCCACTAAGCCTTTCTTCATTTCATACCTCCCCCTCCTCCTTTTCCCTCCTTATAAGGCGCTGGACATCCGGCGTTCCATCTCACTCCCCCCTTTTCTATAAGGCATATAACTCATCGTAATTTCACATTTCCACCCTGTCTCCCCTACTCATAAGGCGCTGGACATCCGGCGTTCCTTCTCACATTAGTCACGCTACCCCCCGCAGCTCTACCCCTCGCCTCTTACCCTCTCCTTATTAAGGCACTGTTAAACGTTCCCGTCTACCCTCCCCGAACTAAGGAATCCGGGCTGCAAATTAGCACCACCTCCGGTGCTTCCGCGTTACCCCCCCCCCCCTTCATCCTTATTCACGTGAGGCGCTGTTAGGCAAGCGTTTCCTCAACTCTCTCTCTCTTTTCCTCCTCTCTGCCTTCCCTACAAGGCGCTGGGCTTCCGACGTTCCCTCTCACCCCCTCATTGAAAGTAACGAACATTACCAAACTAAAACTACTTTACACATTGTCGTAGGCTTATTCACGCTTTACGCACGGCTCTCTCTCTCTCCCTTTTTCTTTTTCTTTTTTTTTCTTCGCACGATCTACAACCGGATCCCTCTTTCTCGACTAAATCTCTTTTTATCACTAACACCATGGATTCCATAGATCCCATAGAAATTTTTTGGAAGTTCCGCTATAGGTAAGATATAAAAGAAAAAAAGGGGCGTTATCAGGGGAACCAAAATTTAACATCCTTTTCCATCCCCTTCATTCTCGGCATTCATTTTCATTTAAGGAGGAAGAGATCTAAGAGAGGGGGTCGTAAGAGGAAAGTCGACGAAATACACCGGGCATTCGTCGAGCACGGGGAGTTCGACCCCTCAATTTTCGATTTTTCGGGGGACAAAACCGAGCCTCAGCCACCCCTCTCGAATCCTTCTCGGGCAGTGCCACCTGCATCACGACCGTCTCATCCCCCTCTTCCACCGCAGACCTCCGCCGCCCCCTCCGCGTACCTACGATTTGACACCTCTGCGCGAGGAAGAAACCGAGGGGCCATTTATACGAAAGGGAACTGGGCCGCTGCTCATGTCTAGGCAGGCACCCCCGCGCCGCGAGCCCCGGTCAGCCGGCAAGGTCGAGCCAAAGATAACCGATAACGTACAATGTAGTTTTAACATACAAATAATTAATAAAGTAAGAATTCATTGACACTTTCGAACAATCATTAACAAATCCTGTTCTCCCTCCCCAAAAGTACGAAATGATGAACAAAAGGTGCATCTATTAGAGTTTCTCTCTCTCTTTATTAGTTTTTAGTCAGATTTGTTTCACCACGAAGTTTTCTTATTCCTCGACAAAAATTAGAAAAAAAAACTACGCCACATGGTAGTCAAAATGGGTTTTCCGCTCGGCCCCCAGAACTAGCCAACACTCTGATCGTACTTCCCTCAATAAAATATAATCCTCCCTTCAATCACTTACACGCCTCCACCAAATCTCGTCATTCACGATCCCAGCCCCGCGTCCCTCGCGGCAAAAACATTAACACGCGGACGCGACATCATCATTATTTTTGCTGTTCAAATGTTACATTGTATATAACTTTTCAATAATGTTATTTTAAAAACATTATAAAAGTTAATATTTGTATAACGTTTATGCTATAATTAAGATCAACAGAATGTTTATTTATTTGCTTGTAAAGAAATATTAATTAGATAGATAATATATTTATTTACAGACAAATAAATACACATTCTGTTAATCTTCCAACATGAACATTACAAATATTGACTTTCATAATGTTTTTAAAATAACATTATTAAAATATTCAACTATACATATACAATGCAACGTTGGAGATTTGTCATACGAACGTTACAATAACAACGTTATACTTGAAACGTTTCTGCGTTACAATAATTAAAGTTACTTAGATATCAATAAAACGTTATCGCACAACTAATTAATAAAAACGATTTAGTAATGCTTTATATACGTCCGAAAAATGTCAACAAATGAGATGTTTCATATGGAACATAATTGAGATAAAAAATTTCTGGTTGCAGAAATATTACTTAAACAATTTTGCGATGTACACTGAAACGTTTCTTAGACGCTACATCTAAATTTCTCTAAACGTTCCAGGAACGTCGCAAATGTAACGTCCCATACGTAACGTAAAAGAGGTAGGACATTCCGGGTTACCGACATGTTTTATAGATGTTTTTGAGATATACTTTCAAACATCACACTGCTGCAATGTGACGTTGTTGTAACATTTCTAAAACGTAATTTTGTTTAGTGGGCGCTTGCAGATTTAAAATATCTTAAAAAAAGATAAAATTGGCTCTTATCCCTATTTCGTACCGAAAATTCGGTACATTCACCCTCTTAAAAGTAAAAACAAAACGGAACGTAGTACAAACGGGTATAAATATCGATCCCGAAATAGCACTCGCTTGCGGATTTGAAATATCTTGAAAAATGGCGAAATTGGCTTTTACACCAATTTTGAAAATTCGTTACAATCATCTCTTTAAGAGTACAAACAAAACAGAAGTTAGTACAAACGATTACAAACGATCCCAAAACAGCACCCGCTTGCGGATTGGAAAAATCTCAAAGTGGGTTTCTGACATTTTTTTCAACCTTTTATAATTTCTAACCCCTTAAAATACAAACAAAACGGAAGGTTGTACAAACGGGTACACACGATCCCGAAATAGCACCCTCATACGAATTTGAAATGTCTTGAAAAATGGCGAAATTGGCTTTTATCCCAAATTCGAAAATTCGGTACAATCACCTCTTTAAGAATATAAACGAAACGAAAGGTAGTACAAACAGTTAAAAACGATCTCGAAACAGCACCCGCTTGCGGATTTGAAAAACCTCAAAGTGAAGTACTAACATTTTTTTCAACCCTTTATATTTTTTAACCCCTTGAGATACAAACGAAACGAAAGGTGGTACAAACGGGTACAAACGATTCCAAAATAGCACCCGCTTGGGGATTTGAAATATCTTGAAAAATAGCGAAATTGACATTGACCCCAATTTTAAAAATTCGGTACAAGCACTCTCTTAAGAGTACAAACGAAACAGCAAATGGTACAAACGGATACAAACGATCCCGAAATAGCATCCGCTTGCGGATTTAAAATATCTTAAAAAATAGCGAAGTTAGCTCTTACCCCTATTGTAAAAATTCGGTACAATCACCCCCTTAAAGGTACAAACAAAACGGAGAGTAGTACAAACGTGTACGATCGACACGGAAATAGCACCCGCTTGCAGATTTAAAATATCTTAAAAAATAGCGAAGTTAGCTCTTACCCCTATTTTAAAAATTCGGTACAATCACCCCTTAAGTGTACAAACTAGGGCATCTAAGTATTCGAATATCCAGATATTCAGATATCCGAGATCGGTTTCAATTCGAATCTCAAAACCGGATTATTCCGATTATTCGGATAACCCGGATATCCGAATTATTTGCATCCGGATCTGAGTTTGGATCCGGATCTGAATTTGGATCCGGATCTGAATTTAGATCCGAATCTGAATTTGGATCTAAATTTAGATGCATGTTCGGAAAAAAAGGAAATGTTTACGTATTTAATAATTTTTAATAGTAAACTATTTTTTGCATAATAAATAATGAATGTTTATTTTACATACATATAATTTAATATAATCTATTTATTAAAATATTTTCCAAAATAATTAAAGAATAAATGAAGCTAATAAAATTTAATTTAATTTTGTTAAAAAAGTCGATTATATAATTATAAACATGGATTAAAA